CATGGGCCATAGAATTAGCGAGTAATAAGCCCCATTCTGTCTGGGATCATCATGGCAGGTGGCCTTACAAACGCACGATTTGGGAGTGACATGGTGGGCACACCCAAATTCTCCAATTAAACTCAGGGTCTATCTAATGTTCAACTTGTCTTGGAAGGAGTTCAAGATGGTCAGCTGTGCATTTATTCCAGATTCAGTTCGGAGTTCCATGGGCAACTGTTTGCCAATGCTTTGCTTTTGCAGGGTTATCTTTTGGTGGTTTAAACATCACTGCCTTTTAAGCCACCGTAAACTGAGTTTCCTTTATATTTGGTGGGGTAGTGATTAGGGTGGACATATACTGTAGGGAACTTCATGAAGCACTTGGCATTGGGACTCATTGTTTGTTCAGCCACTTCTCTTGGGTAAGCCAGAGCCTGCAGCTTGGTCGTGTTCCTGGGTGTGGCTTTTAGGCTACCTCTTTTTGGGGTTGCTTTTAAGGGAAACAACAAGCAACGCCACAATTGTTGGGTCCCCCTATTTCGACACCATCCGGTATTATGTTGAATACTCGCGTTTCTCTTCAAGGGTAGTGAAGGACCCTGCTGATGCCTATTAACGAAAGACTACAAAAGTTGAGCAGCAATGGATAGTTGGATTCCAGGTGAAACCCGTGCTAAAGGCTGCATGAAGCATTTCAAACACCCTCTGTCAAACCAGCTGCCGTTTCGCTTTGCCGTATGAGTATGTCCAACTGGAAGTTGGAGTGCGGAAACTCTCTTAACTTTTGATCCGATCCAAGCGCCTTCGACCTTCGACTCAGGTCTGGCGCACTGCTCTTTTCGCAAGACGGCCGTGTGGGCAACTCGGCCGTGTGCCATGGGTCCGCCTGTTTAGCATAGGACTCTTCAGACTCTCCAAAAGCACTGGACCCCTTGCAAACACGCGCACACAGACACAGCACCCAGCCACACCCACATGCCCACGCCCACATGCGCCCACACACCCGCACGCACGCCCACCCGCCCGCCCTCACGCCCCCGCCCGCACGCACTGTTTTTTGCTCCCCCCGTTTCAGTTATATTAAAGCGCAAGTACGAGAGGGATGGCGTGTTAACTTGGATGGCAAGCAGCTCATTTTCACTCCGAGCTTTTTTGCGGGTCCTCTTTGCCCTGGTCCCGCAAAAAAGGGAAGCCAAAACGAACAAGGGGTGTTGAACCTACTTAAACCCGGTGGTTGGCCCATACCTGTTTGAGCCTGTCCTCTTGGTTGCCAAGTTCCATGGGTTCCTTTCATTTTCCGGAACACCGCTCCTGGTTTCCAGGAAGGTTGACTGAACCATGCCAGATCAGTTTGGACCGTGAGGTCGCTACTTGCGTGTCACGCGATCCCGGGCTCGAGAAGGTGCGCAGTTGAGCGGACTGAGTTGCGAGTCCTTCATTTTCCCCATTTTTGCATCTCCAACCTGCCTCTGAATTGCACCTCAAGAGGGGGAAGTTCAGCACCAGTGCGCCCCAGGAATATTCCGTGGTCGCAACTGGTGAGGCTGGGATCTGCTATTGTTCAAACCGGTGGTACCACGTGCAGAAGCGCAGAAGACCCGTGTTTGCGTTGCTTGCGAAGCTGCAAGGGTGCTCAAATTGTTACAAGTCACCACAACTATAGGAACCCTTCCAGATGGTTTGTTTCATACTCGCTTGCTTACATGAATTAGAGGGGTGCAACAGTTTGGCTCTATGGACGAGCTGCAGGTGACTCAAAGCCAGATGCGAGCGCTGCAGTTCAGCCTGAGCACGACCTGCTCTGACGTCAAGGCCCATGCAAATCGAGGACCCCCCAACCCAAATGCAGAAGTATGGCCCGTGACAGGCAGGCCAACATGTGACCAAAAAACTTCCCCTGTTTGACACCCCTCCACCCCCCCCATACGTATGTCGCAATCTGGGGACCTATGGACCTCTACTTCTTGAAGGATTTGCGTTTGCCATGGCTCATGACATGGAAAATTAAGGGGTTTGCTCCCCAGAATCGGGCTTTCGGTAGCACCCTCTAGGTGTTTCATGGCGTTACATGATGAAGGGTCTTCGTTTGGTTTCGGATTCCTTCTTTCTCTCAGCTGGCTGATGGATCGATCAAGTGCCCTTGCCAACAAGTCACTATAAACTGTGAGGGTGGTCCATTTCAAACTACCAAATTGGACCCATGTATGCTCCCCCCAAAAAGAAACAGAACAGAAAACTGTACGTGTCCTTATTGCGTGACGACACTTCTACAAGGGGGGCTCAAAAGCACTACATAGATCTACATAGTGTTTAGCGTGCCACTCGAAGCTTTGTCAGATCCTGCTCGCAAAATCAAACAAATACAGTACAAGCACAGTACGCAAAGTGCACCGTGGCAAGGTCGCAGGGTCACGCTTGGAAGCCGAAGCTTTCGAGCGGCTTCCGAAGAGCTTACGCGGATTTCCTGCCAAGTTGTCGCTCACAAGCAGCTTACGCAAGGAAACTTGTAACAACATGCTTACGCGCTCTTGTGCACCTGCATGTTTAGCTTACGTGGGACTGTGTTGTTGCATGCCCTTGACTACACATGAACACAAGGGTTTTTGGAGCTGGAGCTGCCAAGGTGCAGTTCGTGCACTACCCCACTAGAAAGGCCTCGCGTAAGCTAGCGTTGTGGCGGCATGCAAAAGTCCTGAAAGGCGCGGCTCGCGTAAGCTTTGCCATTAAACACTTCTGCGCGTAAGGTGATTGCGTTCGCACGTATGGGGTGGGTAAGCATTGGTGTAAGCAACCTGTTTATTGCAGAGGAGTTTATGTTTATCGGTGTATTTTTAGCATGGCTCAGGTGGACAAGCAGCGGAGTTACGTGCCCAGGGCCGAGAAGGCGCCTGAACTGCTTCAATTCAAGTGGGTATTTCAGAAGATCTGGAGGGATGATGCGCTTCAATCTAGTTCCTTTTTGAGCTCCCTCGGGCCCCCAAAGTATTGCAAGGCTTTTGAGGTAGAGGCAGGGTTCCCCACATTTCCCTTGGTTTTAAGCACCTGTCGGGCTAGTTCAACATGAGTGTCCTTAGGGTTGGTTCGAAGGCGGTTTTCGCAGGCCAAGATGGCTGCCACGGAGGCCGCTGCTGCAGCGCGGTTGCCGAGTATCTGATCGCAAGGGGGTGCCATCGGGCAAAGGCATGTGACCCCATTCGGAGGGGTCCCCAGGGCCCAGGAATTGCTCCTGGCCAGTGATGAGCCAGAAGTTGAGCGGCTGTCATCAAGGACCATAGGCTAAGAGCCCATGATTTCCTTCGCAAGGTGACCCTCAAATGGTTGGTTTCGTTTGGGTTTTCCTTCGAAACCGCCTAAAAGGGGGCTCCCTCAAACAGACACACACACACAAATCAGTGTTTCAACAAGACATTGCACGTTTAACACAGTTTCGCGCTCGTCCTGCTTAGGAACATGCCAAGCCAGCTGAGTCGTCCACAATCCAGATTGTTGTGCGCAAAGACCTCGGATGCTCCATGAAATCAAAGCGGAGCCAGCTGACGCCCAGGCGGAGTGCTGACATCGCTGGCTTTGCAGCAGATGTGCCTTCCTCAGCTTATGCCCTGCAGATGAACATGGACCAAAACGGGGGGGGGTCTCCCACGAGCAGATTCCTCCAAGAACCACGGTCTTTGGGGGGTCCATGTTGATTTTGAGGGCTATACATGGTTCAGATACGCGTACAGCACTTGAGCCACAATCAAAACCTGGGTAGATGAAGGTTAGTAAGGGACGATCCCAACCATAAATAGCTGCGGCCGCCTTCTTAATCTTGTACATGGTTCTGGGTTCACCATTTTTGTACCAGGTTTTGATTGCGACTCACTTGAAGCTTTGCCAGGTGCGCTCAAGCAGGCATCCTGTTGTTCTCCCTAGCACGAGTCCGCATCGGCCGTGTTTGTGGCGCTCTGAGTTGTCCCATTTGCATGCAAAACGCACAGAGTTCTGTCGAGACTGTCAAGCATGCATTTGCCCGCAGGAAGTTAAAAGCTGATTGTATACGTCCATGTATGAACTCATCGCCATTTTAGACCAGTGGGGGGCTGGTTTCCAATAACAAACTAGGGGCTCATGGCGCTTCAAGATATGGACGTATACTTTCCTTGCAGAGAGACCCACATCCACAAATAAGGCTTGGGGGAGTTGCCATCTGGCCAATGGACGGTTGTGCCAAGTTTGGAGCTCAGAGCCTGACAAAGCAGCAGCACTGAATGCAAGCAGTGTCTGAGTTTATGGGTGTGTGGTTGTCGTGCGGGTATCCTTTTTTGTCCACGTGTAATCCAAAGCAAAACAACTCACCTGGGTTTTCCAACCTAATTTGTCGCATACCCATTGTGCCCTTTCATGTCCAAAGGCCTCCCGTCGTTAGGAGCCCCAACTCGGGCTCCCTGTATTTCCCTTAGCTTTCAATATTTTTTATACATCACTTTTTGGTTGCCAAATTGATGTACGTGTCCTTCTGGCGGGGCGATGCGGAAGAAAGGAACGTATCTGAGAACAAGCTGGGTAAACAATTTTACCCATCTTTATGTCATGAAAGCTCTGTTTTGTAAACTATAGGCTGGTGGGTTATCCATGCGAACCTGATACAGGGTTCAGTTCTGGAATCTGCCCGGAAGTATCAAGAACCACCAGAAAGAGCCCCATGTTTTGTCAACCTGTTGGCACCCTTTGCTCAGATGTGGACGAGCTGCTGCTCCAAGAAGGAAGCCACGCGGACAAAAAAAGCTGCCGAAGGTGCGAAGTCCGCCGAATGGCGGGTCTCACGCCCGTTTGGAGAACCAAGCACATCCCTAGGAAGACCAAAGAAGGCTAAAACTGAGGTGTTCTTCGCGGGGTGGGGTGCTTGGGGGGTGGTAGGAGCAGTTTTGTCAGAGGCCTTCCAAGAACATCAAGCCAGTGATTGTCAAAGGCTCGATTTGGCCGCTAATAATTAGACTGGTCCAAAGATCGCCCTGGATGGGACATGTTTGCCTGTGGGCAGCCGTTTGTGTTCACATATTTGGAGCCGGCCTGGATTCTGGCGCAGGCCTCATCGTCAGAATGCATGCAAGTTGACCTCAGGATGGTACACAATTCTGTGCTCAGACTCTGGTAGTCTGCACGATCTAAAACAAAAAGATGTAAAGATGGACGGAAGGACACATGGATGAATGGATGGCGTGCGCTAAGGAGTCCCGATGGCGACCATCGAATACGACGATGGCGGCATCAACAGGAGCGGCTGAATTGGGGGGAGCTTGGCTGAGTTGATGTCTCGGCTTGCATCCCAAGGAGCCTGCGCACCATAGCATTCAACCACATAGCTAAGCAAGCCACATTTGGCTATCACCGGGGCAAGGAAAGCGAGTCCAGATTGCACATGAAATCGGTACCTTACAAAGAGCATCAACAATCAGGGATATCCAAACAAAGCCATTTATACCTATTCACCATGCAGACGCAGATATGCTTGAAGATATCGCAGGCTCTCCATTGTACGCATTCTGTCAAGCTTCAAACGGCAGCGCAGATCAACTTTCCAGAAGTCCAGCTGAGCAGCCAATTCGATTTTAACCATGCTGAGAAGGACCTTCAGACCCGTAGGGTCCCTTGAAGCAACCATGACACCCATCTTTTGATGGCACCCACCGGGCGATGGAAAGTGCTCCCCACGCGTGTTGGCGCTCCGCCCGCAGGGTTTCGAGGCAGTTGACGCAGCCAAAGAAGCAGGCCAATTTGCAGCCGGGTTTCTCTGGGTTCCACTTGGGTTCCCCAAAGGACTTCCACCCTGTGGTTTATTTAGAATCCACGGGTGAAAGTCCTTGGGGTGACCAGAAGTTGGAACCCTAAGTTGTTGGCTTCGCAAGAATTCTCCCGCGAAGCTAAAAGCCAGGGCGCTTCGCAAGCCATGCTGCACGCAATCGGCATGACGCCAGAGGACCTCAACAAAGCTCAGGCCAAATGTGCATGTAATATGTCCCAGGCGGCCAAATGGGTATGTGTCAAACATGGTTTGTCCTTTTGCTTTCCCTTCAACCAACCTGAAAAGGTTGCCCTCAACAAGAACACACGCAAATAGCTAGCTTTGGTTCCTCTTTCCAACTGTCCAGAAACGGGTCCCTAGTTTGACACCTACCAATTTGACTCGCGAAAGCTTGAGAGAAACCTGGCATGCTGCACTTCCGTCTCGGGACGTCCCGAGATGGCGACCCGAGGTCGGTATTTGCTCGGTTTGGTATCAGGGAAACCCCTGCAACATGCACCTCTTGTCCCTCGGAGACGACGTGAAGAAGGAGGTGGACAAGGCCCGCCTTTTTGCGGATGCCTCAAGCAAGTCGTGCTGAAAACGGGGGTTTTCCTGATGTGTCAACACAGGTGGGGACCCTACAAATGGCGGTTAATTGTCCATTTAGTGTCCCTTTAAACCAAGGTGACATAGGTGCTCTCAGAAATCTATATACAGAAACGCTACATTCCCATGCATGCATTACCTGCCGAGGACCCGCAGATGTATGGCCTGCAGTTCAACACTATCGGGGTCTCAGACGGCATGTCTATGGGCACCAGAGGGATGACCTATTCGCTGCCATCTCGCGTGTCTTGGACTGGTTGGCCCACTTTTCCTTAGATGTGAGCCGAAGCCAAGTGGGTTGCACGAATTCGCTCCGCACAATTCTGGGCATCATCGTCAAATAGAATCAGAGTCAGAGTCAGAAATCGGTGCAAATTGGAAAAATGGAATTGCATCGACCGAAACTCATTTGCTTCTGCAAATCCAGCAACGCCCTTAGATCGACAAAAAAAGTGGCGCTTTGCCTAGGAAGTCATTGCAGATAGCATCGAATCTGTCGGTGCCTTACAGTTCGCATCAGAGCAGTGCCAACGCCCGCATTGGCCGTTTGATCAATTGCTTCTGCCGCAAAGTTCGATAAACGGCTACAACATGAGGTCATATGAGGTCTGTACGGTGGGTTTCCATGGCTTTGAGCACAACCCACAATGTTGCTCAAAGCTGATCGCGGTTTTGTTGTGAAGGTCATGGGCGCTCAGTTCTACGATGCCCTGGTCACGATTCCCGGGTGTGACAAAAATATGCCAGGCGCTGGTCAACTGAAGAGCTCAGACGTGTGTCTGTGTGTGTGTGTGAACTTGCACATTTATGCAAGGGGAATATGTAAATGCACATGTTCATAGCCTGTAGCGGAGCACGTGTTGACACACTGGGATGCGCTGACATTGACACAACAACCCCGGTTTCTTTTCACTGCAACATACAGTGCATGACCTTTGTTGTTCACATGTATACATCAATTTGACATTTGCATATCTTTCTCAGGGTTGGCGCAGTAGGGGTGGTCATGGAGCCCTTAATAGGGATGTTATTCCTCACGAATCTCTAGGCAATCCTTGGCCCAAGGATATTTGAGCAACAAGGATGGGTCTCAAAATGAACCCCTGTTTTCTTTGGTGTCTGAAAAGGAAACCAAAGGGAAAACTGCTGTTTTAGAGCACCCAAACCTCAACTGGGGACTGCCGCAAGTGTCCAATGACGTCAGGCTGCGTGATGGCGATGATCCGCATGAACCGGTGGCCTGAATGACAGGGGTCTCTTTGCAACCAGTCACGCTTCGGATACTGCGAACTTATTACCGTCCAAAATCATGGAAGTGGACATGGAGGTTAAAAAGAAAAGTAGTCTTCAACTCCTATCCTGTCAGGTTTTACAAACTCCATGAGCAGCAGGCTACCTCAATTCTGCAAGTCGGAGGAACAAGGGTCACACAAACAGGTGTTTCGAGTTAGCAAACACAACGTGTGTGCGTATGCGTGGCTAGGATAATCACTTTTTGAAGCTGCAAGTTGAGAGTGTCGCCTGCACCCGGCTCGAAATTGAGCGAAATCCTAGGCCGTCGCTCATGCTCTATGGAGGCACGATCGCTTCGGGCAGATCTTGCAAGGGCGAGGACTTGGACATTGTCTCCACCTTTGAGGCGCTCGCGGGTCAAGTGACCGGAAACGCCAGGCCCATAAGGCCCCCCGTCCAGGCAAATTCTCCAGGAAATGAACACCACCACCGGGGACAAAGTTGGAGCCTTCCGCGGTGAAAATGATTACCTCAGAATTTTCATGTTGATGGAGATGTTAATGGCGACAAGCAAGCCAAGAATTGGAGGACTGACTTTTGGAGGCCCTTTGGTAAGAGCTACGACGGACACGAAAACCAGGCTTGAAGGTCGTTTGAAAGGGGGCTTCCCGGCCCCTTGCTCGATGCGAGGCCTATGGGAAATTCATTGCCGGCTCCATTACGGAAGAGGAGTCTTGCTGTTGCGCTGGGGAAAACACACGTCACGCTTGCAGATCCCACTGGAATACTAGGGATCTGTCAAAACACGATGGACTTACGTTTGCCCGTTTTCAAAGGGGGTCACTTTCAAAGGGTCCATAGTTCCAAAATGCAATCGCCATAATCGCCCATTCCTTTTTATCCATTTTTTGCGAACTGACCCGATTGCCCTTGTCACAAAGACAACTTTCTGGACAGAACGCGGGCAGTTCAAGCAGCCTCTTAGTGCCTGAGCCCTTGTTCGCCTCAGGAGAGGGTGGATGTGGTTCGCAAAGCGTGTCCTGGCCCGGGTGCTTGTGGCGGAATGTACACCGCCAACACCATGGCAACAGCCACCGAGGCTGGGTCCCGGGGGCCTTTTCGTGAAACTTGGCCCAGGGTTGGTCCCAAAGTTGGTTTAACCTCCAAACTTTGACCAGGCCCCTTGAAAGGGAAGCCGAAGGGATGTTCAAACAAAGGTCAAACCATGGTGCATTAATTGTTTGAGCAGACTTGGCCCAAGCCCGCCTCCGTTTGTTCGCTTCTCTGGTTTTTTGCCATGCAAGTCAGATCCGCGAGTCCTGTTGAAATGCGTTGCGTCGAACTCGCAATCGCTGGGAGGTTTGGAGCGGTTTGTCGCTGCGCAAACTCGCAATCACTGCTTTTTTACTCTGAACCTTTTGCGCAGTGACACATTTGACACGTGTTTCCAGGTCTAAAGCACATCACTCAGGCACTCCGAGCTCTGCCGAGATACTTTTTGAACATCATTTTATTGCAACTGGTATGGACAGCGCTTATGCACTTTTGGCCATCCACAGTACAGCTGTTCAAACACTAAACGTTGGCCTGCTGAGCATACTCAAACCGCTGGGACACACCTATGCAGAGGACAACATGTCTAAAGGGTCCATGATAAAGACCCTGCTGCTGGCAAGAAGATACGGCGGACATGAACAAAGCAGTCAGGAGACGAGGTGCACAACCTGTCTTCACCTGTTATGTTTGGTACACGCGGACTTCTTTAAGAAACACGACTGACCTAAGCACACCTCTGATACGAGAACCTAAGTCAGAAACACGTGATCCTGCCCGCTTGCAACAGAAGCTTGGATGCGTTCAAATCAAAAGGACATCAACCGCTTGGACAGATTTCTCCTCATTGCAGAGCACCACATGTTTTTGTTAGTTGAATTGAACTGGACCCCCACCCTCCCATCTAAGAAGCACTTTGCAAGATGGCCAGTTTTCTTCTGAACTGATTTGCAAGGGAACCCCCTCCCACCCCCAAAGAAAGATGCCCCTTGGTTGCCACATTTCTTGCTGGTTGATTTTGAAGAGAAGCACAAGAACCCCACAGGTTTCCCACGGAAGTGAGACAGCCCCTTTGCCAACGCGGCGTACCAGGCCCTGGGCTTGTCGCTGCCCTACTCCAGCTCCTCCCCCGCCATGTCGCCTGAAAAGCTCCAGACTCAAAGCGAAGCCTCGGGGCATAGTAGAAGTGGCATTTATCCCAGTTCAACGAATCGACCACTGTGGAGCTTGCCCCTTTACAGTTTGAGAATAGGTCGAGCACAACGCATCCCCGATGGTATCATCGCCCGGGTCAGAAACCCCCATGACCAAACTGCTAAAACTGCCTCCAACTCGAGCGAGAGTGGATGGGCCGAATTGGAGAATTCGATCTTTGGGGGTCCCTGATCGGCATCCATGTGCCCTGGTTGAGCTGGGCTGTTTCAGGGCAATCATTCCTCATGTTGCGAAAAGATTCCGGGGTTCTGCATACCCTGCATTTGGACAGCTGCGGCTAAACATATTGGTAGGAGTGTCAGTAGTCACTTGTTGGCTTGGCAACCAAAGTGGATTGTTGACCACATGGGTTTCTTGACATGCTGTGCCTTCAGAAGGGAGATTGTAAAGCTCCACTTTTGCGCATACATATTGCAGGGATTTCTGCAAATTACAGCGGTCTGAGAGTTGCACGAGTGCGCCCGGGAGAGGATTTCCTTGGGCAGCTTTTTGTTCTTCTTCTGGTTGGTAAATGATTAGTGGCGTGCGCATAGTGTGTGCATGTGCACCACGCAGGCACAGCCATCAACAAACAACGGCTGATTCAATAGAAAAGTGGTTGTGTGTCAAGGTGCTCAAAGAAGACCTTAACTTGTAGGAATCAAGAACCCCCCAAGGATGGAACCCAAGGAGGACAAGGGATCCCTGGGATCCCCCAGCAGAGGAACCCAAAGGAACCCGAAAAATGCCAAGGGTTTCCCCTCACCGTTGCCGAATGAGTCAGTGAGGCGGGCGGAGTGCCAGCGCGTGGCGAAGTGCGTGAAGGCGGGCACCGTGTCACGTGTCTTGGGGTTGAGGAGTCGAACTCGGGGCCCATGTGAAATATTCTTTAGAAGGTGGCATATTTTTGACAGCCCCCCAGTTGATGCCTGTTTGTTTTTTTTTGGGGGGGGGGGCGGTAAGAGCAACAGGGCACATGAAGCCCCAAACCCGGGCTTGCATAGGTTTTTGGACCAAATAACGGCCCTTAGCAACGATGTTTGAATTGTTTCATGCCAAGTTTAAGACCCAAATCCCCCATTTGTGAGCAGCCACAATTGGTTTCCTTTTCATTTCGGTTTCCATCACCTTGAGGCCGGCTGAACTTTGTTTTGCGAAGGACAATACAGTGCGACCTACAGTGTTTGGGGAATGAGCATGAATCAAAGGGCGCGGCGCACTTTCCAGGATGAACCCTCGCAGTTTCCTGACAGGCGATGCTGGAGAGGAATCTGAAGCCTTTGGACATCTTGTCCAGGAAGTCCTTCGAGAACGCGATTGTGGTTGTGAATGCGCTAGGCCGAGATGTGCATGTCATGTTTGGAAATAGCCATAGGTTGCCACTTGGGACGGGCCCTCTGACCGGGGTCCCATTTGACTGGAGTGTGCAACCGGAATCTCAAGGCTGTGAAGGTTGTGCAGCCACGCAGGTGGATCCACAAATGCAGTGCTGCATTTGTTGGCGATGGCAGCAACAGCAGAGGTGCGGAACTGTCCAACTGATGTTTCTAGTGTTGACCCCTGATTCTATCCTATTTGACTCTTCATCAGGGCGGTCCCTGAAAGGAGGTACTTCAATTGTCAGCCCCCCTGGATTCATTGTGCAGGCGGGTTGATAATTGGATGGATTTCATCCACGGTCAACAGTACGTAGACTTTGTCTCAAACCTTAGATTTGCTTGTGTGAATTGAGCTTGAACTTTGCCTGTTGAGATTGAGCTGACCATTGACGACTTCCAGCGGATCAGTGCGAAGACCGCCTTGATTGCGGACTTGAAGCCCAGTGGCAAGTTCCGAATGGAGGACGTGAGTTCCGCTGTCACTGTCACCACGGTAATTAGACAAGAGTTTTCGCAGATGCCGCCTTCATTCCCGGACTCCTGCTGCAAGTGCAATCACCTGGGAAATGCAAGAAGCTCGAGTAAGTTACTCCTCTTGGCAAATGATACGGTCCAGGATGAAAAACAAAAGCCGCATTATTTTATTAATCCCATGGTAGCTCCAAGCTTACCCTGAACATTGGTGGGTGCTTGGTTGCAAGCGAACCCTAGTTAGAACTCATTCCCATATCATTCACTTTTGGTCGGGAGTCCGGTTCCGGAACTTAAGTGAAGACCTATGGCCAGGATGTGCATCGCGTTGGTGGCATCCCAGCGGTGATGAAATACTTGCTGAAGCTCGGGTGGCTACACGGGGACTGCCTCACAGCGCCGAGCTGAGAAGCTTTTCGTGCGATGTGAGCTTCCTTTGGCTTCCCTTTACCGGCCAGAAGGGGACCCTCAATAGCAAATGAGGCACCGGCCGTTTGCTTAGCTGTGTCAAACTAAGGCCTGGTGCTGGGATTCAAACATTGTTTCTATCATACGTTCCGTTTCGCGCCTTTCCTCTCTGCACCAGATGTAAAAACTGGGCACCCGCCAAGATTTTCAGTCCATTCCCTCAAACGGGGCCCCAACGATCTAACTCTCGCCAACTCCCCTCATCCAACCCAACCGCCCAAACCAGAATCCCCTAAACCTTTCAGTTCTCAACCCCTCAAGCCTCCAAATCCACACCCTGCCAAGCTTCCCTTTTCTTGAGTTCAGCTTTCTCCTTTGCCGAGATCACGGGGCAGACCTTGGCCCAGAACTTGGCCAGCGTGCCCGACCTTGACTTTGGAGCGCAGGGAGTGATCCTGCCGCTGGAAAAGCCAGCGACCAAGTGATGAGCTTCCACCGCCGCCTCTCTCTCTTTCTCGCCTCGCTTGTTTGCCCCAAATCAGACCTTGATCAGGCCTTATTGGGTTGGGGCTTGTTGGAAAATGCGGGAGTGAGGGGGTCAGGCCGGGAGGGAACTTCTATGAACTCGACGTCTCCTCAAGACGTTGAAACAAGGGTCGATCCAGTCCGTGTCAGATACTTTTGCAGGAAGCTTGTCTTGGTGCTAGGTTGCCGTCTCTTGAGGTGTATTCAGAAGACGGGCAACCTGAAAATCTTGCGCCTTGCTCGCATTTGCTTGCGTTTGCGATTCCGGTATGCCCGAGCAATTGGGGGACCTCTTTTGAATTTCAGGGGAAACTGCAAGGAAACGAGTTGCTACGTAGTGAATTGGGAGGGTGCCCTGTTTTCGGAAAGTCCCGTGGCTTATTTTCGGATGCCGGAGCCAGGCGAGGGAACCTGTGCCCGGAGGGCGGCGTGGGCAAGATCACAGGCAAAGAGGCTACGCCAAGCGTCGGAATCAACACCTGGCAAACTGCGTTGACAGTAACCTGGAACATCCTGTAACCTGAAAACTGACCAATGTGAGAGTAGAATCCTGAGGGTACAAGGGTAAATAAAGCCCTGACAGAGGGCTCAAACGGAAGGAAAGAAACCGCAATCGACGGAGCTGATTGGAGCGGACTTGTTCTTGATGTAGTTGATCTGGGGAGGACAAGATCCGTCAAGCTTCACCCACAAGCTGAGGGAAGGACCACCAGTTGAAGCTTTGCACTTTTTGTTGGTACCAGCAGGTTTCTTCATGATGTGAGGCCCAACAAGTTTCAAGCTTTTCCCCGGTCAACTTAGCAGGTGTCTTCCGCCTAGTTTCCCTCCCAAAAAAGACACACTCATATCACCTCTTTCGGCCAGGGCACCTCCTTCACGGGGAAGGCCAACATCTTTGACAGCGAAGAAGCCATGGTCAAAGGCTTGGAGGATGGCAAGATCTCCAAGGCTGGTCGAATCGAACCCATGGCGCTCTCCCAAAAAAGCACGGGTGGAAATAAAACGTATGGCCCAGAGCATTTAGCCAACACCCAAGTGCTGGGAAGTTGGAGTTGGCATTGTTTTTGAATGGGCAGCTGACATGCCATGATTGATTGAGCCGTATGCAAATACCTCGCAACGACGCAACAACCCCGGACAAGAAAGGTCTGCAGTTGCTCGGCCCGCGAGGCATTGGGTTGGACCCAAGGCCCCTTTGGAGCATCCTAAATTTGGGTATCCCTTTATCGTTTTGAAGCTCACTGTTGGTGGGCCGGAGGCCCCCTCGTCCCCCTTTATGCCCACACACCCAGATTGGACACGCGCATGGCACTCGATTTCCCAGGGCGACTTCATTGTTATCCGCTATGAGGGTCCAAAGGGTGGCCCTGGCATGCGGGAGATGCTCACGCCAACGCGGCTTGCCTGCAGACTCCCCGATCAAGCAAAGCTTTGAAGAGTTGTTGTTCTCCCTCATGCTCCTAGGATGAACGGATACAGCATCCAAGAGGGTCAATGAAGGACTGTTCTCGTGTAAGCCCAAATGATGCCATTGCCAACAAACAAGGAAGGTCCGAGGTCACCGCTACGTGGCATCAGCCCAAGGCCAGGTTTGCTGTTTTGAGAGTTAACGTTTGGTTCGTCAAGGGCTTTTCCAGACCACCTCTGCATTTGGGCCGGAGATTCGCCAAAACCTGTATGGGGATATGCCATACTAAGGGTCCTCCCAAAGGCACGCCGGGTTAAAACTGGTTTTCCTTTGAGCATCGCCCAAATTCAATACGCACCAAAATGGGTGTGTTACAAGGGAGCGTTGATGTTGGTTTGCTTTTCAACATCCAATTTGTTAAGACACACTCGCGCCCAGGAGTGCCGTGATGGGCGCTGGCTTGGGCAAGTATGTGGCTCTTATGACCGACGGCAGATTCTCGGGGGGTTCTCACGGCTTCATCATCGGCCACGTATCTCCGGAGGCGCTGCTCAAGTTTGACGCCGCATTTGCCAGGATTCCCAATGTTCCACTTTTGGTGGTCATAAGCATCACCCTTTGAGCCAATTTAAGGAGCGTCCTTTTCGTGTCCTGTTCGTGGGAAGATGTTTAAAGGGGAATATAGGGAGCCCTCTTTGCTACAATTGAGACCAGACGGGATGAACATCCGCGTTGAGAAGCCAATTTCTCCTCAGCTCAGTGATTCCATGTGGATTGTCGGGTAGAAATCTAGCTGTCGGCAACGCTCACGCCTGAGTGTAGAAATTCACGCCTTGGGCCCCCGGGCCGTGGCAGGCCTTCGTGGGCGGGCCCATTGCCTTGCTTCGGAACGGCTGCTTGGTCAGCCTTTCGAGTCAAGGAGGTTGGTTAGGGTTTCCCCATAGTCCTCCTGTTCATTTCAACTCTCACTTTGTGGGCCAAAAGGCAAGTTTCCGTTTGCAGTGAAGTTGGGGGAAATATTGAGAACCCTGCCTCAAACACACAAACCTCTCGTGGGCTTCTTTTCCCCCAAGTATCCAAGGGGATCCGATCCACTTCAGACCAGTGACGCTACCAAACAGTACCCTTATTAAGGTTACCCTTTCTTATGGTTATTATTAACCACCAAGCCACCTATCCAAACCAATTGGAGGGAAGCTGATTTATGGCTCTTTAAACTGTTAGTTCAGTCTGGGAATTGAGGTGACATGATCACAGTGGACGCCGACAAGTTGCAGCTATGTGTGGACGTCTCCGACGAGGAGCTTGCATCTCGAAAGGCTGCCTGGAAGCAGCCTCCGCTTCCTGCAACTTGGCTGCAGAGGGTGCGTGCCGCGCCGCAAGCTGCCGCCTGCCTTTAATGTGTTGACGTGTCGTACCAGTGGTACCAGGTGAAAACTGGATATCTCGCCAAATACGCCCGGCCCTGCGGCTGCAAGAGCAGAGTTTGCTTGGAGTTTCCACAATGCTGACTTTGTACTTTGCAGGGTCCTTGCGAATGTTTGGTTGGCTGCACACGGAGCGGCCCCTTTGATACAATGTGTTCATGTATGATACCCAATTAGAGAAATGAATGTTCAGCAGCTCTTCTATGCTTTATGGCTGAACCATGGCTCTTGTGCTTGCACATTCCTTGCACATATGAGTATGGCACATCAGGCTGGTGTCATCGGCAAGCCTGGGTTGCGTCACAGACCGATGACGTCGTGATACGTAGTGTAGTTTGACAAAGCTCAATTAGGATTATGGCGACTGTTATGCAGCAACTTGCCACTGCATGTGCTGCATGCACTACAGCATGGTGGTGATTCTCCGATTGCATGCTCGTGATGATTTTGTTCCGCCTGCGAAAGGTGCTTCGACACTGCAGGTTTTGTCACAGCATGCCAGAACAGAGATTGCAAAGTAACTCCACTTGGGTTTGTGTTGCCTCGTGATCTTTTTCGTACTGTGTGCGAAAGTTCACCGTGTGGCAGCAACCCTCGTGTAGAGCAAACGAAGGACTCGACCTTTGAAAGCGTGCCAGATATCAAAGCGTGCCACATTGCCGATGGGACCCACTCAGCAGAACCGTTGGATGCCCTACATATTTGTATTTTGTGCATTGCAAGTAGGGAACAAGGGAAGCCCCATAATTTCTCTCAACTAAGTGGTGCTTCATGGTTGGATGTGTGCTTGGTTGACTTGTTAGATGTAAGAAGTCCATGTACATGTTGATTTTCTTGGAACAAGCTCACGCTGACTGTTGAAGTGAGCCGTAAGGGCAATTTATCACTCAGCTTTTATTGTTGCTGACGGCTCAAAACCACTCACACAAGGCACATGTTCGTCATGGTATGCCAGTGCCAGCCGGTAGTCCATGCAAGACCCCACAGTCAGAATCAAGAGAAAGCTTGCCGCGCATCTCAACAAGAAGTGGTTGAGGGACAGCCCAAAGCCTTGAGCCCGGTCGCATTGCCTCCGGGCGAAGGCGGGAGAGGATGAGCGCATGAGTGTGCCATCCATCCAATTTGGTCAGTATTGTCCACCTTTAACAGTTTGGACGCATGCGTGTGTGTGTGTGTGTGCGCGAGTGTGCGTGTGTGCATGTGTGTGTGTGTATATCAGAAGGCACCAATGCGTTGACAGTCGCTTTTTGGTTTGCTCACACGGTTTCAACACGGTTCAACATGGAACCTTCAAACCTTTCGGGGATGGACAATCCTGTCTCCTTGACGCATAGCAACTTGCCTGTATGGTTTTGAAAAAATTGAGCCAACGTCAGTCAACCGTAGTTGGAGGGTGGGGAAAGTCAATCCCAGATGCGAAGTAATGCAAAAACAATGGCATCCTGACACGGCTTCGGGTTGATTCATTTTGGTTTGGGCCTCCGGGGACTGCCACACAGAGTGCATTTCGGCTTGGAGAGGGGCTGACGGAGCCAGTCACAAGGGGCTTACCGAGAAATCTGCGGTTTCATGTTCAGGTTGTCGAAATTGGCGCGCGTGGTGACACTGGCACAGGTCTTCGGCATGATGGTTGCCAATGAAAGGAGGGGGTTGCAACTGCATAAGCCAGGTGAGCCACTGCATGTCTCTGCCAACCACGCCTGGTTTTCCACTGTCTTATTTTGCTCCGTGCGCCACCGGTCGCTGCTGGTTTGTGTGTTCGACATGCAGCCTCAGAGGTTTGATTGAAATGGTTACCAGCTCGTGTGAGATGAATTTTCATGCTTGAGATGCGTTTGGGCACGTAAATGGGCTTTCGCATCTACAAACGCATGTTGGCTTGATCAAAACCATCCCCAGCATCGACAAGAGAGCGTGCTTGCCTCCTTAGTATCCCCGGTTTTGGTTCTTTAATGATTATGCTGCTTTCTGCTGTTGCTTAGTGGTTTGAAGTGACTTTGTTTTCCTTGATTGCGTGGCCTGCGGACTGGGCGTGCAAAAGGCTGGCAGTGCAACTGGTCACAGCGGCGGCAAACGGTTTTGCACTGCAAATTCAGCAGTCAGTTCACCGGAACATTGACAAGTTTGTTATGAATTTCAAGTTCAAAAGGGAAATCCTTGTCATGTCGGCGTTGAGTCCCGACTGGTTGCAATCTCTGGCAGGCGAGTGCTTTCACTGGTGTCCTCGGGATCAGTCCAGTGTAGGCTCAAATGATCGGTTGAAATGTTCTTGCAGGCGGTGGGCAAAGTTGCTTTAAACATGTTGAATGGCACGGCAGTCGTGCAAAGCAAAGCGCGTGGAGAGGAACACTCAAGCCGATGCAGGCACGCGGGTCAGAACGAGAGAGAGAGAGAGTCAGATGCATGGCGTTGCGAGGCCGATCTTTCGACCTGTTGATTTCGCGGTGTCCATTTTTAAGATGTCCCACATTGGTTCTCAGTGTTGGCCAACTTGGTTCTGCAACCTTGTGTGCCCTGGTCCTTGGGGCAGGTCGAGGGGAGAGTTGGGAATGCCCCCAAATGAGGGGCGTGTTGTAAAAAAGGGATGATGCTAAACCCGACCACTCTGGATGGTCTGACAACACGCATGCAGACTTTGGGCTCATTGTAGTTGCTTCAAGCGCTCAGGTAAAGGGCGTCAATCAGTGGGCGGCCGTCCATCTCAAGGATCAAAGCAGCTGGCCTAGAAATTTCAAGTTCTCAATGCTCCAGAGCAAGAGCCACGAACATAGTATGTGCCATGGTCAAAAGAGTTCAATATCAAAGCGATCGAATCGTTTTGTTAGGATCTCTTTTGCATTCCTTCGCTTCAGCCCAAACGGTCGACAAACCTTGCCCTTTGCGACTCATATTGGAGGCTCATTTTCCGGGTCTGGGTCATACCAACAATTGGGGTTTTGGGGTCGTTTTCCGTTTCGGTGACCCAAGGCGCCGGCGGCAGTCACTGTGCCAAGGAAGGAAGGCCGAGCGGTCGTTGGCGCGCCAACATAAAACTGTCTTCCTTTAGGTGGATCCCACATACCACGTACCTATGTCCTGCGTGATGTTGAGGGATTTCTCGCCACAAACAGTTGAACTGCATCATCGGGGTAGGGTTGTTGGGCCAGCTTTTGCGGTTCCTCGAATGGTTATAAGCTATGAGGAAAATCATATATGCGCTGACATTCACATATGAACTTGACTGTACATGTATATATATATATATGTATCAATCATAATATGTATATGTCTAAGGTCCAGTAGTTTGTTGGCCGATGGTGTGGGTAACAGCGGCGCGCGCGCGCTTGCAAGCAGCAGTTCTCCTTGGATGTTTCCCTGCAACACCATCCTAAGCAGGTTTTGCACCATTCTTCCATGTCCTCAGTTGCTACCCCGGGGTTTCAGGCACAGAGGAGAGCCATTGCAGCGCCATTCAGTCTCAGCCTGAAAGAGAAAGAGAAACTGAAAGAGAGAACGAGAAGGGGGAGAGAACGAGAAGGAGGGAGAGGGAAAAAGAGAGGGAGAGAGAGCGAGAGAGACAGAGAGAGAGAGAGAGACAGGCAGAGAGAGGCAGAGGGGATTCTTCAATTCCTTGAGGTTTCCTTGTTAAGTCAAGCAGACCTCTCCAGTTTTAGCTCCTTTTTGAAGCACGCGCAGCTCAGGTCGTCCATGCCCAGCGGAGAACGTGGATGCAGGTTGGGCTTGTCCTGGAATGTCCTTCTGGCTGCAGGAATGTCTTGATGGTGCGTGTCCTTCCTTCAAAGACCTGAACGAAGGGCCTCCAGGTATGGGGCATATTATGTCATTATTATGTCATGAGGCGTATTGTTGCCACAAGTGAATTCCTTAAGTGACAAAGTAGCCATGGGAATCCACCAGTTTATCACAAGGCTTATGCTTCCGCAACCATGTACAGGTGTAACGCCGGTTTTACCTGGCAGGAGCGGTGTTTGGGCCCATGCCACTGGCGGCTTTGGCCCATGGCCCATACTCGGTCATCGCTTCGGCCGGGGCCTCGGAAGGGTTCGGAAGGGGCTGGGGATGGCTGGGGGACATCGCCGCTTGTGCCAAGAAACTCTTTGAAGGGATCTGGTTGTGGGGATGGCCCACTTTGGTATCGCAGAACAAATTTGCCGCAAACAGGTAAACCTTGGGCACGCTCAAAGCAGGTTTGCTACCAACCCGGAGAGAGACAGCAGGTTTGGGGGCGGGGCCCATATTCAATTGCAATATCGACAACGGCTTGCAAAGGAGGGAGTATTGTTGATAGCTCATGTAGAAATGGTTCCAACATAGGTGGTGATCCCCTTTTGGTTTCCCGTTGAAACACACCTGGAAACGGTACTTGCAAACAGACATTCAACAAATACCTCCTCGCCTCGCCTTTTGCACTTGAGTTCTTGGAGACACGCTCGCTGGGACAGACTGACAGAGCCTGCAGGCGCGATTGTTCGGATTCGGGTTTTGGGCCACGTCCTGTGCCACTTTCGGTTGATACAGTCATGCGGATGGTCCATTTTGGTATCAGAGAAGGGCTTATTGTGCACATGCATGTGTCAAACTGCAGTTGAGCTCAAGCGATGAGGAACACTCTGCCACCAAGACTTGTCATTCAACAGGAATTTGTTCACACCAAGGGAGTGTCCTAAAGTTGCTTAAGACTCCATGCAGCCCGCAGAACCGAATGCAACGCTGGCAGGCTCCTGCAAAACCTCAACAATGGCCATAACGGGTATTGGGCTGAGAGCGCGCCGAGAGGATGCTCCAGAGGCTGTGATTGCAATCTCGTTGAAGTTTTGGACGACCGCCAGACACTTGTTTGGTTGAAACAGGTCTGGGATCGGTGGATGTTTGTATTTTGAGTTGGTGCACTTGGCGATAATGTTGGAGAGTGATTAGTACAGGCCCCCCCCCCCCCCCGCCCCCCCCTCAAACGAATTGGGGGGTCAAAACAAATGGGGGTCAGACTGGGACCTGCCTGAGTTGTTTAGAATTGGTTTAGTATTGGTTTAGTATTCCTTCGAGCTGGGTTTAGAATTGGTTTAGTATTAGTTCTGTATTCTGTTCAGTTGACTCACTACAGTTTAGAATTTGTTTAGTATTGTTTTTTGTTCTTGACAGGCTGCCCTGGCCATGTTTTTTCACAATTCCCTACCCTAAAACAAACTGCATTTATTGCCTTCCTGCGGGTTCCGGGTGCCACCCCCTTGAAAATTTGTCAGGGTGCATCTTCTAGTAAAGGGATTGACAAGGAATTTGGTGGTTTGGGACAGGAAGCAATCCAGAGTTCTGGACATTTCTGGCTGGACTCAAACGTTTCAACCCTCAAAAATGGTCCATTCTTGGAAGGGACCATATTTTCGGGATTTCGGGCCGATTTTTTTCTGTAATACCTACCCTTTTTGCTTTTCAGGAGAGTGAATAATTTTGAGATTATTTTCTGTATTCACTCCCCTTATGCTAATCGCTATCTAACATTAGGGGAAATGCGTGGGGCTTCCCCAACGTTGAAGTCGGACTTCGAGACCCACCTAGGCCATGGCACAAGATCGGCGCCGAGACCTTCTATGGCATGGCCATTGCCTCAGCTTGAGGCCTCAAATGCCGCAGGCCACTTGGGGGACATCGTCCCGTCTGAAAAAGACGTGACATCCAAAAGGGACTTCCTGAATTCTAAAAAATACTTTCCTTGTCAAGCATTCATTGAACGAGCTAGGACGCCTGGACATCCCCCTGGCACTACCGCAAACCAACCCTGAATCAGCATGACAGTACACCCCACTCTGAACCCGCCCTAAATACCCTAAACCCATTTAAATCCCACCCCCAACGAACCCCTGGTGCACTTGCTTTCACGGGGGCCAATGGGAAACGAGGACTTCTTTTCCGGCTGCTTGTTTCCAGAATCTTGCCCTGTGATACCAAAGTCGTTGATGCCGAACGTCGGGAGTCAAGAAGGGGCTCCCCTTGGTATCCGGGAGAGTGGCTATAAAACCTTTTGTTCCACAACAATGTGCTGTTTTGAGGAGAAGCATGATCCAATTCGATTGGGCCATGTTGTGTTGTGCTGCTCACTTAGGAAATCGACGAGGGAGGCTTCAAGTTGTTCGAGGTGCCTTCGATGTCTATGGCATGCATGCTGTAAACGTGGCCAGGCGTGTTTGTTCAAACAAAAGATGCACTATTATGTGCTTCTGGTTTTCAATATGCGTAAGTGAGGGGTGGTCCAATTCTGATTGCGACATGCGTGCTGAGAAGCCACACTGCAGAGATTGCTTTCCTCGCCCCGGAACGCGTCGCACGACCTTTTGGCTCCATTGGGCAAGCCCGGAAAACTCTGGGCCGCTTTTTGCCATAGTTGGCATGTCGCCGCTGCCGCCCCTTGATGAGGTTCTTCACGTGCTCTACTTAGCTTGCAAACAAAAAGGTGCTATCCCCTCACCCCCAAAGGAAACAGTGGCAAGCATTTCACTAGTCCCCAGTACTTCTCTGCAAATTGTCCTTCATCCAAAATGAGTCCCTACAAGGATATTAGTGTTTGGGTTTAATGTGAAGTGCCACTGTCGCCCTCGGGTGGTTTGAGGCTGACGCAAACACCCGAGAATCAGATTCAAGTTCCGAGGGAGATCGAAAGTGGCTCGGCCTTTCGCCCATGGGACCCCCAACATGTGACACGTGGTGTTCTTTTAGGTCCTTGAAACAACACGCCCAACTTGAGAACTTGCCAGTCAGTGGCTTCCCTGAAAAAACCCAGGCGAAGATCCTCGGGTGGCATGGCTGAAAGCACGGGGTTGGCGGCACGCCCATTCTGTCGCACCAGGATGTCAGAAGTCGAGAGAATTGACTTTGTGTTGGATAGAGTCGTTGAAACAGAGGGCCGTTCGCGGGAAAACCAGATCGTTTGGACGCATGGGTGTTTGAACAAATGACCATAGTAGCATTGCGTGCTGCCTGAGCTGGTCGGGTCACAAGAGGATTCCTTGCCAGTCAAGAGGTCACAGAAAGCGCTTCTCATCTCGAGCCTGACCTAGGTACGTGACGGAGCCCAAGGCTTGTGTGAGCTGTCAGTCATGGAAGCAATACCTCTACGACGCGCTCAAGTTGGAGCCGCGGATTCGTCTGCGACCCAGCCGGGCAGCATGAGAGTACAGCCATTACGTGAGGAGAAGAGACCGGGGCAGCCGAATGTATCCCTAGTTTCCCCTTTTTGGTAAGAAGCCAGTGACCGGTCACCTGCCACCTTGCCGAATGCGTTGGAACTTTGGAAAGTGGGTTGCAACCAGGGTTTGCCTCTTACCCCGCGGAGAAACCACCTTAGTGAAGCTCCCTTGGACACACACGATCTGATCCTGGGGTCTAAATATAAAAACTACTTCACTGTTTTCAGATTAACACCGAGAAACATTGCTGCGTCACTTCTGCCGTTCCAGTTTCTCCTTTGTCAAGCTATTGCCTGCTTACGCCGAATTGCCAAATTGCAAAATGCTGCCAAGGTGAAAGCAGGCTGGGCAGATTATGAGTATAGGACAACAGTAGGAGATACCACAACCGTCGTGCAGTGTTCCCACTGGACGGATTCTTGGCGATACAGCCGGCGAGGCATTTCGGATTCAGGGCAGCCAGGCGGCGAGATATTTGCAAACTCTCTTCACCAGCGGCGAGATCGTGGTCCTTCATTGTTTCCAGCGGCAAGATTCTTGGCTGGCAACACCAATCGCGGCGAAGTACTCTGGGAGTAGCTCTCCGCCCAGCCCTGCCCTCGAGAGCCAGAAATCTCTCCAACTTGGGCCTGGTGGCAACCCCCTCAAAGTGGAGAGCTACTCTGGGAGTAGCTCTCCGCTCCTGCTCGCTGTGTCTTACTGAGTGCTTCAGCAACCAACACAATCTTAAGCAGACAGACTTGTGCCAAATCAGCCCATGAAGGACCCCACAAATAGGAGCGGAGAGCTACTTTGAGGGGGTTGCCAAAATATCTCGCCGCTGGTGAAGAGAGTTTGCAAATATCTCGCCGCCTGGCTGCCCTGAATCCGAAATGCCTCGCCGGCTGTATCGCCAAGAATCCGTCCAGTGGGAACCCTGCACGACGGTTGTGGTATCTCCTACTTTTGTCCTATACTCATAATCTGCCCAGCCTGCTTTCACCTTGGCAGCATTTTGCAATTTGGCCATTCGGCGTAAGCAGGCAATAGCTTGACAAAGGAGAAACTGGAACGGCAGAAGTGACGCACCCCTCCCACAGAACACCCATCTCTCAGCAATGTTTCTTCACTTTAAAAGACAGTTTTATACGTTTAAGTTTATCTACACTTTTTAGGTTTACTCTTTCAGTTTAACACTGAATATCACACAGAGTCAAGCGTTTCTGAGTACCCCAGTTGGGCCAAGAAGCCCTTGCCACTGGAGGCTTCATGCAGCGCGTTAAAGAGGATGGATCAGTCACATTTTGCTGCCTGGCTGCAGATCGTTTGGACAACATGTCAGGTTCGGCCAAAATTTCCATGAGTCTATTGTCCGTGTAGTTTGGATCCATTCGGAAGGGATATATGGAGGCTTGCTAAATTTCCCACCAAAAATGGGGGGACTCATTAATTGTCCTACGTCCATTTCCCCCCATATTACTTGGCACATGTTTGGTGGTATCTTTGGTTCGTGTCCGAAGTGCATACATACAAACGTATGCATGAACGAACCTGTGTATGCGTGTACCTACGTACCTAGTTAGTTTCCTACTTACATGCGTACACATTTGCATACGTACACACGTGCATGCATACCTGCATACATTTTCCTACGCTACATTACAGTGCATTAGACTGCATAAACCTAGCGTTACTTTACATTTGTTATGTCATTGCATTTCGACATGCCATTTCATCACAGCACCTCGCATCACACCGCACCGCATTGCATTGCACACATACCTTGGCATTATATTTACATACCTTGACATACATGATATGTGTTACGTGCATTGACATGTGATACATGTTTGCATCTTTTGTCCACAACATTATTTTTAGACACATGAACAGGCAAGCAGGGCTGTGACACAATCCTGAAGCCTTTGGCTCCGAAATCTCAGCTTCATATGTCACGTTGGCTGCAGCCGCCCACAGTCCGCGGCGGGCAGTGAACCTGCTTTCCTTTTCTTGGCATGCTGACCTCCCCGTGGAATCAGTTGTTTGTGCCTTGTTTTTTTTGCTGAGGCTACAATGCTGTGCGACCACTGGGGGAAGATTTTGAGGCTACCTGGCCCGCAAACCAAAGCGACATTGCCGGAATGCGTGCCAGGAAAGCGTGGGTTACACCTTCAACTTCTTCAGCGATGGCATTTACAGGATCGACCTGCTGGCGGATCCTTAAATTGAGTCTGGGTGTCTCGCGATAAGACAAATAAATTGAACCTCCGCAACGATGGCTTTCTCTGTGGTTTCCCCTTCAAGCCACCCAGAGGATGTACCCTTAAAAAGAGATCTACTCTGTCGTGCAGGCTGGCGTGGACGAGGACCTATGATGCATGGCGGCCTTTCTGCAAAGCGTGCATTTCATGTGAGGTCCAAAATGACCTGCGGGAGCCGAGGTCCTCACAAGGGGAGCAGCACTACGGCAAGTGGGCTGTCGACATGGACCACGTTTGCTGTGAAACCCTGGAGCCCAAAGTTCAGGCGCCGATGTGTCATCTTTGCTTCCAATCGACCCCACGGGTGACTTGTTCGACTAGGGCACCGCAAGGCCGTGTTCGCTTGCTGAGCAACTGCACTGTTCTTGCCCTGGAGCTAAGCCCAGAAGACTGGTTTATGCGGTGCCTTGGGATACAAAGAGTCTTGTTTCGGTCATCAGTCCGCCCCAGCCTTTGGCAGAGGCCGAGGAGACGGAAATGAGATACGCGCCCACGGGGTTCAAGTTCGCAGTACCACTGGAGGAGATCCTGAACGCCAAGGGCACCTCGAACAAGAAAGTGTTTGCCTGAGCCCAATAGCTCGTCATTTTGTGGGATCCGTTGGGTCAAATGTCCACCCTGGTAGACTGCCCTCAGTTATTCATGGGTTTTTGATTCCTTTCTGGGGACCTCCCCCAAGGACTGCACGGCCCAGTGGCCCGCGCAATACTTGAGCGTGGCTTGTGTGTGTTTGTGTTATCACGGGCACGGGACAACCCTGCCGTTTCTTTGGCTCTCAGTGCCACGCAGTCGGTTTGACGGCCCGCCCGCAGCGAGGCGGCTATTTTCAGGCCAAAGATGGGTCCAGAGCTGCCGAGTGGGAGCTGCCGGCGCGGACGGGCAAGATCGACAGCGCTCGCCTCAGCATTGCCCAAAGGCTCCCGACTGCCTGGGCCTTCAAAAAGGGGGAAATTTGAGGGCTTTGAGGTGTCAGGGGTTGGACCTTCCCGAGGGTCCATGAGACTGCATGAGCGTTTGTTTTTATACACTTGACACATGCCCAAATGTTGGGAATCTGTCAACTGAGCGGCAGGATTGCTGTGGGGAGCACAACCCGGGTGTCGGTTTGAGAAGACCTGCGACCAAGGTGGTGACTCAGTCTGGACGGCAGGAGCGGGGTATCCGTTGCCTACTGCAATTTCCAACTGTTTGTAGGAGGATGTGTGAATGTTTGACTGTGTCAAGCATTCAAACAAAAGGTTTGCCAATGTGAATGCATCCCTTGTTGGTCGATGTTTGTTGCGGGGGTTGTTCCTGGCGGCTAGTGCCAAGCAAGAATGCGTCCAGACTAGTTGGACCCCAATTGTTTGGGTTATGTTGGGCTCATATTTCCCAGTGGGAAGGGCAAAGACAAATACGGCCCCCCACCGCAAGATATTCTTCTGCAAAGCGCATATCTATTAGTTAGTCCGAATGGACTCCCCTTCCTTTCCAGGCACAGAAGCCAACGAAACTGTACTGCGTACACAAGGAATTCAATTGGAATAGTGCAGGGCACACAATCAAATCTTTGTTCTCAGATACGACTGCTTTTGCTTGTTTGGGGGGGGGGGGAATCTATCAGTTTGATCTTGGTTTATTATTGGCCTAAATGTAGTTTGAGTTTAGTATTTGGGATTATTTACAGATTCATATTAACCAATGGGCTGGATTCAATTATTGATGGGACTAGACTGCCACCATCGCAGGTAACCAGGAGTTGCCCCCTTTGCCCCCTTTCGCAGGGTTGCGCCTGTTCGCTACCTACTTTTGTGGTGACTGGCTATGGGCAACACTTGCCGTGACCGGCTTTTGGATCCATCCTAATATTCGATGCTACCAACCTGACCGGGAGGTTAGGACATGCCAAAGTTGGCAGTATAGGGCGAGCAGCTTGTATCTGTTCGGACATGGTTGAACTTGCGCAATAACGCAACCTTCTGCTTCGTTGGGCATGGGGGAACGAGAACAAGTTTTTGTTCTTTAAGCCGATCTTTCCCCAGCTTAAAACTTGGACGCTTCAGAATGCAACAGGTCTATCAGTCCTTTTCCATTTCAGGATTCTTCTGCTTAGAAGGCTACACACTTCGCGGCTTTTCTCAATCACTACGTGTGCAAAGGAGGAGCGAGCAACCCTAACTCAGTTCAGCGGCACACTTCTTTACCTTGTGGTTTGGTGGGTTCCCTTCCATCAAGAAAGTCAACCTCAAAACAGGTTCCAGTTTCCCCACCGTTTTGTTTTTTTAAGCGGAATCTCCCCCAAAGGAAGTTCAGAGAATTCAAGGCCTAACCACTTCAAGTAACCCAGCTCGGCTGTCATATGATTCAGAGCCATAGGGGGAGCTATTGCAGACTAGTGACTAGTGACGACTCGGGCCCGTTCATGACCATGGGGCTGCTCCTGCTGCGACTCTTGATCAGTGGAGCGTGTCTTTCTTTCGGGGACCCTAAAATGGATTTCGGTTTTCCTTTTGGCTTCCCATTAAACCACAACAAAGGGATGACAACTCCAAACAAAAACCACACCCAACCGGCGTCACACGGACAACCGGATTCAACCGGCCAGGAATGTGGGCGCCTTTGGAGTCTGAGGTCTCTCAGGCGCTAGCGGCCGGGTTTTGTGACTAGCGTCGCCATCAAAACCCGGTCAGATGAAGGGACTGTCCCAATAGGTGCGGAGATCCACCCAGAATCGATTTGTTACATGGTGGGTGGACCACTTGAATACCAGGTTTTGAGTGTGACTCGACTCAGAAAAGAAGTCCCCAGACCGTGCCTGGAGCCAGCCCTGTTTCTTCATCTTGCCCGGTTTCGACCGTTTCCCAAATTCACTATCGATTTTGAAGGGAAGCCCACAAAGAACGCAGACGTGGTGTGCCAGATGAATAGTTTTTGGCATGTCTTCTTTGGGCAACCTTTTCGAGGTACTTGCAGTTTTGAAGCGAGACGCGCATTTTGTTTTGCTATGATTTCCAATGGGGAACACAGTCGAAAATGGTTGATGGGTATAACTCATATGAATGATGTCAAATTTTCCCCAATTCGAACTCAAGATCATACCCATTTGGATGTAATTCAAAAGAGGTGCTCTCTAGAAAGGGTGGAATCCTTTATGGTTTTCCTTGAAATTCCAATCAGCAGGGGGTCCACCATTTTGAGAAGCTGCCATTTGGGTACTTCACCTGACCCCAAAAATCCTCGAACGCCCATCTTCCTGACCACAGGTGCAGGCTCCTCAGGCTCCTCAAGTTCTCTCCAGCATGCGAGCGGATGCGAGGTGCGGACTTGCGGACCCGCCCAGTCAGTCTGCAGACCACCCCGTGGGGACAAAAGCGGGGAATATACCCTTTGTATAGTGGCTATAGTAATATATCACGCTGTATCCCATCAAACTGTTGGGGTTAGTGGTTTGCGTTGGAAATCATCTTAGAGTCTAGCGTCGACATGGTTGGCATATGGTTTTCATTATTGCAACATCCGGGGGCAGAGAACAACTTACCCCTTCTTTTGGGCGCCAGTTTTTTTGACACACGGCCAGGTATGTGGACATAGATGGAGAGATGCACGAAGTGTCTGGTTCCTTTGCTGCGCTGGCAGACACAGCTGTTCAGACGTGAGTGGCCAATGGCCTAGTGAAGGGTTTCCATATGTCCCTTTTCGGCAGTTTTAAATATATGGGGGCCATTTGAAGTGAGTTTCTTTTGGTGGAGTGATGTTTAAAGAGGAAATATAGGGAAACTCTGTATTGGCCTGGGCACTTTCTTCCGGAATGGAGCCCTTCCTGTTGAAAGGAAACCAAAAGAAGCCCACGCATGTTGACACGGGATGCACATTAGGCGCTTTGGCTGTAAAGGGGAAGCTTCAAGGGGTCCTTAACTGATGAACAATGGACGTTGTTGTTGGCTGCAAAGTCTCTGCTTCATTTGGGAAGAACCTTAGACCCCCTTCGAAGGGAAGGTGGGGGGGGTCTGTTAGGGTATCCTTTCTGGGGCAAGCAGAAGCCACTTGGGAGGTCCCAGTGGAACCGATAATATGACGTTCTTGGGCAGCTGGGCTACAAGGTTTCAAGCAAGCTTGTCAAACACTATGCAGTCTCTAAGGCACCACGAAGTGACCCCAAGCAGTGTTGACAGGTTGGCAAAATCCTGGGATTCGCTAGCGAGATCTAAGGTGATATCGTTGCCAATTGGCCAGAAGATCAGTGGCCTCGGCTGATGCGCTGTCGACTTCGATTCGGCATCCGCGGGTGATGCGTCTTGGTGATACACGCACCTGCTGGCACTGAATCCTCCCTACATCTTCCCATCACGTTTTCCAGTAGTGAGTTAAATTTTCGAGCCTTCACAGGGCCTTCCCTGTTGCTCATATTGCGTGAAGCGCAACGGTTCAGACGGATGAACACCATTGTACAAAGCACCAGCATCTTATGCATCGAGATGCTTTACATCAGATTATCCGTAGAGGCACTGCGGGCAGGATTTGCTGGCAGGCATCTTGCGCACGTTGGGTGCAACACGCGCAGGAACTGCCACACTGCCACCAGTTGGTGGGAGACTCCAACCTGCACGCTTCCAAATGCGGCAACATGCACGAAGGGCGAAACATGTGTCGCAAGGGCCCTTTGAGCGGTGATTCCTCCAACTGGCGGCAGGCGTGTGGGGCCGAAAGCTGGAAGGCCGGGACATCCTTTGCTTCCACGTCAAAGGACCTGGTTGCTCGGGTTCAGCAGGGATGATCATCAACCCGGTTAGTTTTGGCGATTTAGACAACACTATGAAATTGGATTACAGGTTCTTTCCAGGCGCCATAAGATCCACAAGGAGCTTTCACCATTGCGCATGTGGTGTGCTAAAAACCAGGCACCTCTTTCCGTGGCGTTTCAAGTGACCCCCCCGGGACAGGCTCCAATTTCAGGAAATACAGGTCAAGCTGTTGTTGAGATCAAGGTTCTCAATGGTCGGATTGCTTTTGCTGCCATTTTACTTTGACACGTGTATTCAATGCCCAAAAACAACAAACAGTGGCCTCATTCTGCAGACTTGTCACATGTCCAGCTAGCTGGACGTGGCAGGCGCGCTGCGAGAAGTTTGGCAGCTGCCCCGGAAGGCTTCCATCATTTATGGAAATCATTTACCCCTGGTTTCCTTGCTGCTTTCCTTGTTTCAGGAAACCAGGCCAGCCGCCATAGTCTGAAATGTCTCTACCCTGGCCTTGCGGACTGCGATGTGTCTTTCAAGCATTGCCTCTCGCACAATTGACCTGGCATTCTGTGCCCAAACGCTCCATGTGTAACGCCCCCGCTCATTGCAGTTCAGTCATGGCCCAGCGTGGCGCGGTGCAGTTCACTCAGCGGATCTCGCCCGAGGCAGAATCACGCCAACCTTCAGCCCACCATTCAGCGGCCAGGGACACAGGAATGGGGCTCAAGCAGGGGGATTCCTGCACATGGCAATTGATTGCCTTCGCAAAGGACCATGGGCTGGTTGTGAAAAAGCGGTTTGTCCAGCTCTGGTTTTGATGGCAGTCGGAGACTGAGGCTCACAGATTGCGCGCGTGGACAGCCCCGACGAGGCTTTGTGTTCAGGGATAGCAAGAGGATTTTTTGTGCGGCTTGCAGCTATTGTGGCCCTGTCTCTATTTCCTTCCTTTCCCTGCATGTTGTGCTGAACTTTTGTCACGGCAGGTTGCCTACTGCAGGTGTCGGCTGCGTTCGCGGACTCGGGCATGTGCATTGATGCAGTTCACACGTAGCACATCTGAGAAACTGACAGAGATTGCTAGTAGACAAGAACCAGGGGACCCAGCAATTTGCCCATGTCCTCTTGGGGAAACAAGTCATCTTGTCCGGGGCTCAGGTTCAGATATACTGTCGGAGAAGCCTGGCCTTGGTGTCTATGTCGAGGTGGAGGCCCACTGTGGTCAATATGCCTGAATTTGTTTCCAAATCCTCCCAGGCAAGGGTGGTTTCCCGTGGTGTAATAAGAGTGTCCCTTCATGTTTTTTTTGAAGATACCCTTTTGGTTTTGAAAGGAAGACAAAAATAACATCACCTGTTTTGAGGGTCCCTATGTTGACACATACCCAAAAGGGTGTGTCTTGTTGGAGGGTGCCCTATTTGCGGTCATTCTAAAGGGAAGCCAAAGCAAGCCACCCATTTTGGGACTGCCTTTTGACACACAAACCCAAACGGCTAAATGGGCACATCTCTCAAAACCAATCCTTCCTCTCGCAAGCTGAGGTCAGCGCCAATGCGGACAACTTGAGTTTGGCCGTTGTGGACTTTGAGAACGGAGGTCGAAGTAGCCCATCGGCTGCATTCTCCCAACATGAGAACCGGGTGCCTCATGGAGAACCGACTTGTTGGTCGGCTGTTAGAGCGCCGCATTGATGGTTTTCACGGAAAGGTAAGCTCACCACCTAAGAGGGGTATTCAAAGAAGACAACCTGGTTTTCAAGGGAAGAATAAGATTACGGAAGGTGTTTTGCGTCTCAGGGAATCGACAGGTCAAAACAAATGTGTCCCCAAAAGGAAACAAACATTTTTTAGAGGTCCCTTGGATGGGTTTTTTGTGGGAACCCAAAGGAAACAAACCATAGGGTTTCCCTTTCTCCTTAAGGGAAATTATAATGGTTCATGGGGGTCATGCCCTTCTCTGAGAACCAGCAAGTTTAGAAGACGCGTTTAGACGCGTTGAGGCGTCACCTTCAGTCCAGAGACGGGCGCCGTTCTTCGCGGGGGCACTTAGCAACTTAGCGCTTGGAGCTCGATGGTGCTTTCTCGCGGTGACGGAAGACAGTTGAGAACACGGGATACAAACACCAATACAGAAACTGCACCACCACACACAAACACAAGCTCAAACATACACAGACAAACAAAGGCTTGACAAAATGCGTGGTTTCTTTTCGGGATTCTAGCGCCAACTAGGGATCCCAAAAGGGGTACATGATGTTGACAACCCGATACACGGAACCTCAACAACACCTGTGTAAGGACTCTCCTTTTTGGGTGCCCCTTTTTTACGGGTTCCATGCGTCAAGCCTCTTTCTTCAACCCATGCATCTCCAACGGCTTTTGGGAGTGCCGTTCACACGTCTACTCGGCTATGACTTGAGGGCTTTGTCCGAAGCAAGACCTGGGCAGGTGAGCGCAAAGTGCGCGAGTCTCCGAGAGCGATAGAGGGAACGTGCTCCACTGGCGACGGCATGCATCTTGTGCACATGTGTCAGGTTGTCAAGCATAGGTAAGTGGTGCCAAAAAACACAATCCTTTGACAACCTGGCAAATGCCAGTGGCAGGCTGTGCTGAAATTTTCGCAGCTGCATTATGGCTTATCTGCGATGGGAGGATACTTCTTGGAGTACTTAGGCAAGATGCGTAGGCGTATTGCGACTTGCGAGAAAGCCGCAACTTCTCTACTTGCATCAACTTGCATCACCACTTTTGTGAACGTTAGCTCTCTGGCCGCTGCTTCTTGCACATGGCTTCTATTTGGAAAGAGTTGGTTTGGGATGGGCTCCTGTGGTTGGTGATGTGTCTGCACGTCTTCCTGTCACCCTTCACCAAAGTGGAGGAGAGCTTCAACCTGCAAGCGTGTCATGATGCACTGATCCACGGGCCCCAACTGCAGCTCACTTAGAGCCAAGCTTTTGACGCCTTCCGATTTTCCATGGTTGGTCGACTTGTCCAAGGGCCACTTTGCTTAGTTCACTTGTTGTTGGTCTTGCTGATGCGCGCTGTTCCTTGGTCTTGCTAACCTGAAGCACACCCTGCATTTCCGGGTTCACCTCTTTTCTTCCCTTCTTGATCTTTCCTTTCGTTTCCCCCTGCCCATCTGTCTGATGTTCGGATTCCAGCTTCCCATTTCTTTTCTTTTTTTTTCAGCGAGGCATCTCTGGGACCACTTGCAATTCCCCGGCGCGGTGCCACGCAGCTTCCTGGGTGCACTGGCCACCTCAGTGGCGGCATATCCCTTCTTGGGCCTGGGAGCTGTGTCAAAGCCGGCACTTTTGCGGCTGCTCCGATGCACATGGGCATGTCCTTTTGGCTTCCCTTCAATCCACCCCCGGAGAAAGGGTTGCCTCGAAAACGCCCGCATACACCTTTAGAAACCTTTGGTTCTTGTTGTTGCTTTTGTCTTGCGGTGTTCGTTTCTGGTTTGGTTCCTCTGGTTGTTTCCTGCTTGGAGTTCTGTTGGTTTTCCCTTGTTGGTTTCCCTCTAAGCTTTCGACACCTTTTGGCTTGCTTGTATGGCCTCAGAAGCTCTGGTCAATGGAAAGAGGTTCCTTGTACGTAGTAGGTTCTCCTTGTTAGGTCCTTGATTGGTTTTCACTTTTCCTTGTTTGGGTCCCCGTTAGACGTTTTGTTGCTTTTCCAGGCCCGCTTTTTGGTTTCCCCTTTGGTTCCTACGGCTGAGGCTTGTGCGGCTTGTGGTGGCCAGTACTTCGGCGCTGTGCTTTGCGCGCTTCCGGTTCCTAGTGGCGAAGGAGTGGGGCATAGCAGCGGGCCGCCTGCTGGCACTGCTGACGGTGACTCAGTTTCACTTGCCCTTTTACCTGCGCCTCGGTTGTACGTGGGTCCCTGTAGTTTCCTTTTTTGATGGTTTTAGGCCTTTTTGGCACATTTGAGGTTTTCGTAGGGGTGATGTTTTAAGTGGAAGTATAGGGAACCCAGTTGCAAGCAAATCAACCTTGTCACTTTTCATTGTTCCCTTGTTCGTCCACTTTCGGTGATGCCATTGACAAGAAGCCTTCAGCTTATTGTATCTCTGTTGTCCAATGGGGTTGTTTCCAAATTTATGAGGAAAAAGGGACCCGACAACGATGAATCTCCTTTTGATTTCCCTCTGAGATTAACCAACAAAGGGCTCCTCCCCAAAAGTCACCACCAGGCGAATCCTGCTGTTGACCTGCTTACCCTTGTTCATCCACTAGTCAGGACCCAAAAAACACAGTCGTGTATTTCCTGGTCGCTTTGCAAGGAGCCGCACGCTGCCCAACGTCTTCGCCACGCAGCTGGCGCTGCTGGCACATGCGGAGATGCTGTCGAAATCCCCCCGAGCGGCGTACAGGTGCTTGGCGCTTCTGGGCATCACGGCGGCAGTGTTCCGCTGCGACTTGCTCATCATGATCGCCCCGGTGGGCCTCTTGTTGTTGGGTGCCAAATAACAACTATATTTGTTAAGTTTACACAAACTTCAAAGGGAAGGGACAAGAGGGGTAGATTGATCATTTTTCCAGAGGTATTCAGTACCCAGGTTGCTCTGGCACTGCCGGGTCAACTTCTTCAAGGCGGCAGCAGTAACAGCTGCTGCCGCCCTGCTTGGCGCATGCTTGTCGATTTGTGTCGACTCGATCCTTTGGCGACGCTGGTTGTGGCCGGAATTTGAAGTTCTTTGGTTCAACACGGCCGAGAACAAGTCCAGCGAGTGGGGCACGCAGCCACCTTTGTGGTATTTCTTCTCGGCGCTGCCGCGCGCTCTCTTGGGAAGCCTGCCATTGGCCTTGCTTGCTCTGCTCATCGAACCCAGGGCGCGACAGCTCGTAGCAGTGGCCCTCACCTTTATTGGCCTCTACTCTTTCCTGCCCCACAAGGCCTGGCATCGCCTCTTGGCGTTCTTGTCAAACCGTGCAACCACCCCCCACCCTTTTCACCAAGAGTTTTCTCCTGAAACTCGTGGTCCCCTATGGTTGGTTTCTCTCCAAATACCAAAAGGGGTCCAGTGTGAGAAGCAGGAGCTGCGCTTCATCTTCCCCGCGCTGCCGCTGCTGAATGCGGCGGCGGCGGCCGCCGGCGCCAGGGTTCTGCGCTGGAAGCGGTGCGGGGTGCTGCTGTGGGGTGGTTTTGCGCTGGCCTTGGCTGCGCACGTGCTGGTGACCACTGTCACCCACTTGCCCAGTTTGCTACAATTCTTCTTTCCTCTTTTTTTTTTGGGGGGGGGAACCTCTTTTTTTCTTCTTCAATCAACCAGTCAACCAAGAACCCCCCTATGTTTTCCTACGGCTGCTGTGCTTCTAGGTGATGACGTTGGCTTCCTTTTGCAACTACCCTGGGGGGGTCGCGATGACCGGCCTGCACGCAACCGACGCCGCAACCAACCGCTCCGTGCACATC